ACACACACACACAAAACATTAAATCACTTAAAAAAAATTCCCCCAAACAGCAAATGATTTAAAAAAGGGAAATATTTTTAATTGTTTTCAGAAAGTATTGATTCTATATCTAAAGATAGGACATCAGATAAGGAAAAAACACCATGGTAATTTGGTAATATGCATCAAAACTTTAAAAATACATATGCCTTTATATTCAGCAATTTTACCGCTAGGTATTTATCCTAAATGCAATAATAAAAGACAAAAACACATTTATAAACAAAATAATTCTTTGAAAGGGCACTGGCTGGCTCAGTCAGTGCAGCATGCAACTCTTGATCTCAGGGTTGTGAGTTTGAGCCTCACGTTGGACGCAGAGATTACTTTAAAGAAGATTCTCTTTAGGGACGCCTGGGTGGCTCTGTTGGTTAGCGTCAGAGTTCGGCTGTGGTCATGATCTCATAGTTTGTGAGTTTGAACCCCACGTCGGGCTCTGTGCTGACAGCCTGGAGTCTGCTTCGGATTCCGTGTGTGTCTGTCTCTCTCTCTGCCCCTCTCCCTGCTCATGCTCTGCCTCTCTGTCTCTCTCTCTCTCCCTCAAAAATAAGTAGACATTAAAAAAAATTTTTAAAGTTCCGTTCAAAGATTTTACCGGTGTATGCTCCCGCTATCAGGCTCTTAGTGTCTCCTCCATCTTCGTATACCCCATACCCAGCCATGTCACTTAACTTTATTCTCTTCTTGCAGTGCCTAAGTACATTTTATCCAACTTCTATTCACATTCCCTGAAGTCCTGTTGAAACTAAGAAATTTTTTATAAGCCAGACAATTGTTGTATATATATATATTGAGAAGTGTGGGGAACATACAAAGATAGGGTATTTGCTGGTATGTTGGGGTACAGGACTTCACTGTTAGTGGCTCAGTACACAGGAGAAATTTAAGGAGGAGAAAAATCATGGCTGAAATTTACATATGCTATAATACTCAAAATTATATAGGCCTGAGTGTGAATTCATTGTTTTATTGTCTCTCCTTTACAGGAATGACTGGATTCGAGTTGGCCTCTGCTATCCATCAAACACAAGTTTTCAGGTTACCTTTGGCTTTTTACAGCGCCATAATGGCTCATTATCCAAAATGGAAGAGTATGAGCCTGTGCATTCACTGGAGGAATTGCAGAGAAAGCAGTCAGAGAGGAAATTCTATTTTGACTCCAGCGCGGGGTAATGAAGCACAACCAGTGAATGAGAATTATTGCTATTTTTCTTTAATGGTGAAATTACTAGTTCTTCACCCTAACTAAGAATAGGTTGTGATGTGACAGCTGTTTAGAAAAGCAGCTGATGTGGGTAATTCTCTGCTCATCACTATTGGAGGTTTAGAGACAGAATGCCTCGTAATTATAGTTGGCAGCAGGAATGAAATGAAGATGTTTGCCATATACCTATTAAGGCAATTTAGAGAGAGAAATTATCCTTGTCAGTAAAGAACCAGTAGGCCCAATGAAAAATCAAAATAATTTTTTTCTATCACAACCCTTAAGATGATTATTTACATGTGATATAGTTCATATTTCAGCAAAAGCTCTCTTTTTTTTTCTTCCTTTAAGGTGATCTTTCAAGCTGACCTTGAGTTTACAAAAAACAAAAACAAACCACTGTATAACCATGGCATATTTGCTTTCAACTCTCTCTAGGCTACATCTTTCCACTTTTTAATTCTAATCCTGTTCACCTGGGGTCCTGTTGGCTTTGTCTGCTTTTATCCAGTTACAGTCTCTCAGCCTTTGGGTTATGGTAGGCTCGATCTCCTGTACTCTTCCAACAAGTAGCATGCTCCTTTAGTATCCATTCCTTGAGCTGACATTCCTATCACGTGCCATCGTCTAGGTGCTGTAAAGATACTGATGTAAATAAGGCTCATTTCTTCCACAAATTCACAGTCCATTGAAGGATGTGGGCATGCCAAGCAAGTAATTAGAGAGCTAGAGGATTATATGCTGTAAATCCCGTAGCAGGATGTTCAGTAGGCCTTTTGCGGTAACCCAGAAGCTCAGTCTAGGACGCCCAGTCATGGGGCTAACTCCTGAGGAACCAGTAGGAGGAGATGGAAAAAGAGAGGGGTAAGGTGTCCCTAGGAGCAGTGTGGATAGATGCATGGAGGCATGGAAGAATGTGGCATGGCATGTTTGGGGAAAGACAAGTTCAGAATGGGGAGAAGGGTGGCGAGTCTGATGGGGGAATGAGGTCGGGTTTTAGTCGAGTGCCTTATTAGTTTTTGAATAAGATGCAGCTCGTTTGCCCTCCAGGACCCCTCCAGCAGCCAGTGTGGCCAGCTTAAGTCTTCTCTTACCATAATTGTCTCTGATTTTCAATTTCTAATTAGACTTAAAACACCCTACTTGGACTTTTCTTCTACAGATGACAGAAATTCCACATTCCCTATTGATTTTCCACAAAAATAAATGCAACACCTAAATTTGTGAGGATGGTCTGGGGATCACAAATTCATGATTAGCTGGGAAATATTTTGTTCGGCCGGGTATTTTATTTATTTATTTATTTATTTATTTATTTA